TTAATTTAATTTCTCTGTTAACAATGGAAACACCGCAGCAGCTGCCTGCTCCTCTTTCTGATAAGCCACTGACCCGAGGGAAATTGGGGTCAGGAGGAGGAGAAATTGGAAACAGTCTTTTCTCCCTCCTGAGGACGCTGGTTCTGGCCACAGACCAAGGAGCAGGAAGAGGGCTGGCGTCCCTCTCCTGGGTCACGAGGAGCCTGGGCCTCCTGGCACGCCGAGCTCTCTGGGGCACAAGGCGGGTAGGGTGAGCCTGGGGAGGGGCCCCCCAGCCCACCCCAGTCCTGGACCCCACCTGCTGGCTGGCATCCCCGCTGTGGGCTACCCCTCAACCTCTTCCAGCCTGCCTGTCCCCACCGGGGGGCACCCCCAATCCATCCCAGGGAGCTGCAGCCGCCACTGGGATTCAGGCCGCCCTGGGTGCCTGTGGCAAGTCATAGCTTTCTGAGCCTCCGTCCACATCCCGAATGGGCACACCGTCCGGGGAAGGGCCTACGTGGCACCTGCACGTGGGACGCCCTCGTGGCCAGTCTGCGCCGCCCCTCGCCAAGGCCCGTGTGTTGCTAACAGTTGCTGCTCCATCACTGCTATCGGGAATGACCCGCTCCCACCAGGGAGCTGAGCCAGACCCTTCCTCACCCTCTTTCACCCAAAAAGGTCGCAGTGCTCAGGCTGTCTGCCTGCCCTCTGCCGGGGCCATGGACCGGCCAGGGCCGGTAGCCTAAAGCCCATCCGAAGCCTCTTTAGGGACACTTCTGGGAGTGACTCCAGGGAGACGGGCTGGGTAGTTAAGAAGGAGGAATGGATGTCTCAGAGCCCCACTCCTGCAGCTATAAACCGGGTGCTCTGGGCACCCTGAGTTCTCCTGCAGAGCAGAGTGGCCCTGGGTGGTGCAGGGACCCACAGGTGGCCCAGTCCCCTCAACCTGCCCCTCCCACCCCCAGGGCTGCCGGCCATGGAAGTCCGCATCAACGTCTCGCGGCAGCAGGTGGAGAAGGTGTTCGGGCTGGAAGAGTACTGGTGCCAGTGCGTGGCGTGGAGCTCCTCGGGCACCACCAAGAGCCAGAAGGCCTATATCCGTATCGCCTGTGAGTGAGGGTGGCCCTGGGCAGGGTAGTTGGGAGGGGACAGCAGGCCTGCCTGGAGGAGGGAGTCAGGTCAGACCTCACACCCTGCCTTGATGGGTAGAGAAAGCACCAAGGGACAGCAGCCTGGTCACCTCCATGTCTCGGGGCACTTGGCATTCCTCTTGCCATGTGTCATGGCCCCCAGGACCGAGGGACAGAGCCAGCAGGGTGAGCAGGTGTGAGGGCCCCAGGCAGGAGGACACTCTTGTTTTTCTCCCAGATTTGCGCAAGAACTTTGAACAGGAGCCGCTGGCCAAGGAGGTGTCCCTGGAGCAGGGCATCGTGCTGCCCTGCCGCCCCCCAGAGGGCATCCCCCCAGCCGAGGTGAGAGGGGCTAGGGACCCACACTAGGGGCGGGGTGCCCAGGGCCGCTCCCACCTGAGGCAGCTGGCCTGGCCCGCGTGCAGCTGCATGCCCCTCCCCCAGGTGGAGTGGCTGCGCAACGAGGACCTGGTGGACCCGTCCCTGGACCCCAACGTGTACATCACGCGGGAGCACAGCCTGGTGGTGCGCCAGGCCCGCCTGGCCGACACGGCCAACTACACCTGTGTGGCCAAGAACATCGTGGCTAAGCGCCGCAGCACCACTGCCACCATCATCGTCTACGGTGCGGCCACCCCAGCCTGGGGCTGCAGCCCACCCCCACCCTCCCTAAACAGCTGGAAGGGGTACAGCCCAGGGAGAGGAGGTGGCCTGACCGAGGTCATGCAGCAAAATCAGTGGGCAAATTGGGCACGCCGGTGCTCTAGTCCCTTGTCTGCCACCGAAGGAGACACAGTTCTTGGGCCGGGGTTGAGGCAGACTCATTCAGTGGCCCCACTCCCAAACCTATGTTCCTAGCAGTTAGGGACTGAAGCCCAGGCCCTGTAAGCTCTTCTCTACTGCCCCTGAACCTCATGGACAGGAGGGGCAGAGGTGGCTTTAGCCGGTGACAGGAAGAGCCCTGTGCTGAACCCCAGCCCCAAGCGGGTCCCCGCCCTCACAGGGAGACGTGTGCACCCCCTCTGGACACTGTTTGCCGTTGTACAGTGGTATGGGGAGTAAGCAGTGTCCTCCTGGGTCCCCTCTGGGTCCCAGGTCTGCCTGCTGTATCTGAGTCCTCAGCCCTGCCGGCAGGAGGGTCTAACTGGGGAGGGCCAATGGGACAGGTTGAAGGGCCAGAGTGCCCCAGAGAGGGCCAGCCAGGTGACAGCTACAACCCCAACAGTGAATGGCGGCTGGTCCAGCTGGGCAGAATGGTCACCCTGTTCCAACCGCTGTGGCCGAGGCTGGCAGAAGCGCACGCGGACCTGCACCAACCCCGCCCCGCTCAACGGAGGTGCCTTCTGCGAGGGCCAGGCCTTCCAGAAAACGGCCTGCACCACTGTGTGCCCAGGTAGGAGCCCCCGGCAGGTGGCATGCTACCACACCCAGCCTTATGCCAGAGCCCCCCCATCTGTGCTGTGCTCCAGAGCCAGGCAGCCATTCCCTCCCCACGGGAGCAGGAAGTGCTTGACCTGGGGCCACAGCCCGCC